TACTTGAACTATACTTGAAAATAGGGTATAATAAGACAAAATCCTGCCCAGTAAAGTTTAATCTTCCAATCATTTAGCTATAGTTATCTAACCAATCTAAATTTTATTAAATTGGGGGTTAGATATGAGACTTATGGGTAAGCGAACATTTGAATATATTGAAAATGTGAATTGGGTTCAATATGAAATGCTGTATCTTTCTTGATTAAAATAGTATTGATACATGCTAAATAGATAATTCCTTTATAGCAGATAACTCAGATCATGTGAAGTATTAGTACCGCTTTAGCCTTAGTAAGACCATACTTAGAATACTGCATGCAGTTTTGGTTACCATGATGATATGGAAAGACTCTGGAAAGAGTGCAGAAAAGAGCAACAAAGATGATTAAGGGGCTGGAAGCTAAAGCATAGGAAGAATGATTGCAGGAATTGAGTATGTCTAGACTAGTGAAAAGAAGGGCTGGGGTGACATGATAATAGTATTCCAATATTTGAAGGGCTGCCACAAGGAAGAGGAGGTTAATCTATTCTCCAAAGTACCAGAAGGCAAGACAAGAAACAATGGAGGGAAACTAGTCAAGGAAAGAAGCGCCTTAAAATTAAGAAGAAATTTCTTAAAATAAAAGTGAGAACATTTAACCAGTGGAACAGCTTGTCTTCAGATGTCGGTGCTCTACCACTGGAGGTTTTTTAGAAGAGACTCGACAGTTACTTGTCTACAATGGTCTATGGTTTCCTTTTTGAGCTAAAGGTTGGACTAGAAGACCTCCAAGGTCCCTTCCAACTTTGTTAGTTTTTATGTCATCCTAACTATGAAATTATCTCTGTAGATTTATTTATAGGTCTTTTTATAGTTTTGCATTACACTTTGCTTTGTTTTTACTATTTATTAATTTATATGCGGCCAATCTCACTCTGAAAAGCGACTGAGCTTTTATTATTTTATTATTTGTCATGCTTAGTATTTATATCTATACTAAACAAAAAAGGGAAACTGTTCTATAGAAATAGATTAATTTATAAATTAAAGTATCAAAAATAGGGCTTCCCAACTAAAATTTAACAAAAATCTAATATTCATGGTGCAACCAGAACATATAAAACAGTTGACTTTTTTCTTTTTCCTATTATATGAAAAAAAAAATCTTCTACTGAGTGGCAGTTACCATAATATGGATATTTTTACATTAGAAATGAAAAAAGCTATATAGTCCTCCAGATGATGAACTCCAGCTCCTATCAGTCATAAATCATAGTCATTATATCTAAACAACTGTCATTAAAAACTTCTGCATGTTATTTCTATGTAGTACTTCTATATAGTGCTAGCAGGAAATGATTCTGAACCAATTAATTTTGATTATAACTAAAATATCCAGGAATGTTGAAAAAATCTAACTTGCAAAAGAAATTTACTTAATTCTTAGTGCAAACTGTCTTATATATGATTTCACTCTCAATAAGATATATACTTATCTTTCCTTTTTATGTTTCCCTTTTCCATATAAGTTGTAGCTTGGAAGCAGACTGAAATGTTTAATACTGCCATTATCATAAAAGGCTCTTTTAAAAATGAAGTGCATCAATATATATTGCAACTTGGAAGTAAATTTTAATGTAGGGATGGGTAGGATATCCAGAAACAACTTTGTTTTCATTATCACTGGCTATGCTGACTGCAGCTGTTTTTTTTTCCTTAACTGGTTTAGTTGTTTTTTAAAAGTGAAATTTACTAAAGTTCTGCCAAGTTTCCTCTTTTAACACAAGTGACAGGAAGAATGATAAAGCAGTAGTGGTTTTTCTTTTTAACTTTTCCACTGGCCCTCAAAAGACATGACCACAGAAACAAAAGCAATTGGCATTTGTTTTTTTAGAATCAGTGGGAAAGAAGCAGGGGCTGTGTTAACTGCAGTCCAGATACAATACCTGGCTATTCCCATGATTAAAGCAGAGGAAGGGTTGAATAAAATCTATTCCATGTTAAGTAATATTCTGTATAGATTAACATTGTGCTCTCTTCCAATGTATATAATAAGACATAAGCTTGGCTTATTTCAGGCAGCATTGTAAAATATTGAAGGTGGATGAGTGGTGGTCTTTTTAATTCTTGCATTAAGATATTACCTGTTAGGATTTGGAAGAAAGTGATGGCAGCATAGCAACATGGCCCAGTTGCAAAAACAGAAGGGGTACCACCCTCAATAAAGGCTGAATTCATAAATTGTGCATTTGAGTTGATGAGCTGTATCTTCTAGGATATTGCTTCTTTTTCTCAACTCGTTTAATAGTCTTATCATCTCAATTGCATCTAATGGCCTTTAAATATGTTATTCCTTTTTTCCTGTAGCTTTTTCTTTTCTGCTTTTGCAAACTATAGGATTGCCTTTATTTGCTTCTATATTCTTAAGCAAATACTTTCATTTTACATAAATGGCACTATGCCTGAATATTTGAAAAAGAACAAATGTGTAAGACGTTGACATGTGATAGGTTCTTTTTTCAGGTTCTAACTAGTCAGTAAATGAGCCAATAACTCTTTTCTAAGTTCTATGCCCCCAAACTTTTTAGTAACTTTCAATTTTCATTTGTCACTCCTTGGCAACTACGAGTATATGTTTCCTAGTGCTGGAAGTTAAAACCCAGCCCTCTCCTAGAAAAATGAAATATTTTAGGAAATAGTAAAAAGGCAGAATATTTCCCCTAAAAGAAACTCAGAGGCTGAAACTCCCCCCACAACCTTTGTTAATGGGCTATTAAGGCCTGGGCCAGTCTATTCTACATAACAAAGATCTACCTCCTTCAGGCAGAACCATTCAATTGCCCTTCATTGCATCACCCACCAAATTTCAACCAAACTTAGCACACAGACAACCTACAAAACTAGCTATGACCTCTGGCAGCAACCAATCAGGATACACTTCCTGTGCTCCAGCAAGTTCCAAGCCAGAGACTCAGCATCCTGCCCCTTTTCTTCGCCGAAGAGCTCCAAGGCATGTGATCCTGTCTACTTTTCAAACGGCCTCCATGTTTCGGTATCTTTTTCTCCACTTGGAACTGAACTCAGATGGATATTTCTTCCAACGCTAGTTAGCTTGTAAACCTCAGAATTTTTTAACTTCTACAAACAAAGGTATGGATGGTGCAGTTTTACTTAAATAAAAACAGCATCAAGAAAATGATTTTAGAGGAATGGCAATATATAACCACATGATTACCTGTGGTTAATTGAACCATGATTTATATAATCCATTTTGTTTTATAAGAATAAATTGATTAATCACACAGATTGGTTCACATTAAAACAGATTAAAATGTAGTTGTTAAATGGAAGGACAGGAGACAATGCAAACACAAGTGTGTTAACATACATTAATCCTCTTTATGACATTAAAAAAAATCAAATAATGAAACTGGCCTTTCAGTATAATAAGACTACATTTACAGCAGCAGCAAATTTAGTAACTCGGGGCTCATGGTAAGTCTTTACCAGACCAGAGTGGAATGGATTTAAAGCACGCATCCAATCATGGCCTCTTATCAATGGCTCAAAGTAAACAAAAATCCAGAAACATGGTGTTTGCTTAGGCAGGGAGATCATCAAAGAGAAGGTTGGGCTGGTGGAACTGCAAGAAAGAGGGTGGGGGGGGGAGTGGATTCCAAAGAGTAGCAAAAGTAGTGGTAATGGGAGGTTTGGGGGGGGGGGGAACCAGCAGAAGTAATGGGGGGGGGGGGGGGGAGAAATTTACTGATTTCTTCTGAATAAAGAGATACTTCATTCTAGGTCAAGGGTCTTCAAACTTGGCAAGTTTAAGACTTGTGGACTTCAACTCCCAGAATTCCTGAGCTAACATGACTGGAGGAATTCTGGGAGTTGAAGTCCACAAGTCTTAAAGCTGTCAAGTTTGAAGACCCCTGTTCTAGGTGGATGTTTGATGGTCAAAGGCTCAAGGTTTTTGGTAAACAACTGATAAGAGAGAAAGGTATTCTGTTGAGCACTGAGTCCAATAGAAAGCAATAAAAAGGACACCTGAGTTTGCAGATACATGACTGTGTGATTATATACCTTACAGTATTTGTTCATAATGCAAAAAAAACATTTTAAAAATTAAAAAAACAAGCATGTCAAAATGTTGCCACAGCCCCATAATATTTTACCACAAAGGATAAAATATAAGGCTATTCGGTGGGTGTGCATTTTGACGTTTTGAGCCTTTTTCAATCTGTAAACTAACTAGGTTTGATGCTCCCCTCCTTTTTGAGGTATTTTTAATGAAGAATCAGGAAGCCTGTCAGAATAGGTGGAAGCACGTATGAAGCGAGTTTTTGACTTTTTAAAAATTGGTATTTGTATTTTGAATATTTCAAGAAAATTCTTCCGGGTACATTAAGAACTGGTGATAGTAAATGAAATACTTGTAAACTAATTCCTCCAAGTCTGTTTCGAAGCTACCGGCCTTTTCATTTAAGCCAAACCTAAAGATGTTTTGTCTTTATCTCCTATTCTTTTCCGAATGGGATTAGGTGCACTGCCCCACATTTTCATCGGAAGGTGGGGGATTTTATACGCATTACCTGTAGAACAATGCCACCCATCTAATGGCATGTCTCAACTGCTATTGCCTTGCTTATTGCGACCATTATTCTTTTGCCCAGCGTTATGCCAAGGCCGAGCAGCCATCGGTGAGAATCGCGCGGCCGGAGTCATTAATAATGTATCCAGGACGGGGGAAGGGCGGGAAACCCGAAGCATTGAAGCGAGGAGGGGACGAATCGCTCCAGCCGAGTGCTTTGCCCGCAACGTTCAGCGCAAAGCTCCGCCCTTCCAACGAAAGGATTGAGAACAGTATTTTAATTTCGGCGACCGGACCGCTTCATTGGTCGAGGAAGAAAAGGCGGGACGAATTCTAGCCAATAGAAGCGAGCGAAGGAATGAAGGGTAGGGCTTCAACCTGAATGACAGCTCGGGAGATAAACAAGTCCCTGCGCGAGACTTCTCCATTAACCGAGCTCCGTAACCTAGTTTTTCCCTCCAGAAGAAAGGAGCTGGTGGCAGGCCAAGGGAATGAGCTCGCTTCCCGGTTTCTTTAATGAGCCATTCGCCACTCGTTCACAACGTGAAGAGTCAGCAACTTCCCAGCACCCACTCAGCAATAATCGAGGGAGCGCGCCGTAACGCGCAGGCGCTTGCTGGCCAAGGTACTGCAAGAGACTCTGGGCCTTGTAGTTCCGGCATTCCCAGTCTTCCCCAAGCGCCTGCGAATTCGCGCCTCCATCACTACTACCTGACCCAGAAGCCCTTGCGACTCTAACTCTTGGAAGCCGTAGTTGAAGCGGGTGGCGGCTGAGGGGACTCCCCCCACTCCCCCCAAAACCCAAAACAAGGAAATGGTGCCCAGTATGGTGGCCTCGTGCCCTTGCGCTTGAATGCTACCGGTCCCGCCGCCGCCGCCGCCGCCGCCGCCTCACCCCGTTGCCCACCTCCCTCTCTTCCTTCTCTAGTCGCTCCTTCCATGGGTGAAAGACATGGACTACGAGTTCAAATCCAAGCTGGCGGCCGAGCGCGAGCGGGTGGAGGATCTGTTCGAGTACGAGGGCTGCAAAGTCGGGCGAGGCACCTACGGGCACGTCTACAAAGCGCGGCGCAAGGACGGGTAAGAAGGAACCGCGAGGCGGGGAGCGGGAAGAGCGCGGCGGCGGCGGCCCAGGGAGCTGAGGCGTCGGTTCTGCAGCGACTGAACTTTCAAGCCCTGCTCCCTCCTTCCGCGGTGCCGTCCCAGCAGCGGGGCTTAATTCCCGCACCCGTCGAGCTGGGGGGTTGGAGGGCAGGGCAACTAACTGCAGGGAGAGCCTTTGGTGGGCGGATCTAAGGGTCACAGTAGGCGGGGCCAGTGGTGGGCGGAGCCAGAGTCGAGGAAACTCCGAAAGCGTTGAGTACCTACGAGGCAGATTGGTGGTGCCGGAATTTGAACCCCCGGCAATAGCAAAAGCATCTTTTGCGAATGGACGCTTTTCTGTGCCAGCGGGAAAAAAAAGTCAAAGGCTGTCCCATTGAAGCTGAAATGAAATCTTTGTTTGGGAAGGAAAAAAAAAACCCACCCTACTTAGCACAGCGATTTCTACCGTTTAAGAAAAAGGTGCCGGTTGGGTGAAATGATGCAAGCTGTCATTTCTTCTGCTTTCCTTATTTTCTTTCAAGAAGAAACAAAGATCGAGAGTCCTAAGTGAGTTTCCCTAACTAGAAAGCGGACAAGTCAGCTTCCAGGGAAGGAACTCTTCTGCTTTTCCATTCTAGTCATGGGTACTTTTCTCCCTGCATTATCACAGCACCCAAGATTGGTTCCACGACACTACCTAAACTTTTTGCTTGAACAGACAGCTTGATCCCAATGCTTGTGTGAACAACACAACACAGAGGACTAATCCTAGGACTTTTTAATCTTCTCATTTGTTCTCTTTTGGCAATGAGTGGATTCAACTTAGTTCACTCATTTCTTGCTATACTTTCTAGAAAAAGAAAGTGAGGAGAGATCATTTGTTTAATGCAAGAACAGCGACTGTCTTTATACAATTGCGTGCCTTCTGTTTTTCTTTGTGCTGAGTTCTTGATGGAAGGGATTGCATGGTTGCTGCTGTCTCCTCACTCTTTGGGATGAACATGCATCCTTCTCACTGGTAGTGCAACAGGAAGGATTAGGCATAGTGGTACCATCAAAAAGAAAGGCTTGGGTAAAAGGAAACATTGCCTGTATGGCTCTTCTGTTTCGTTCTGGGGTTTGAAGAAGTTGGCTAATTGGATCCAGTCCCCACTTTCAGAACGGGGTGGAATGAGGTGAAGCATCTATGCCCTGAAATGTCTTCCTCTGTACAGTAGTGGGCTCTTAGAAGTGGGAGCAATTTACTGGGGCAGCTTGAAACCTTCCCTGCTGGCCATTGATTTTGCTTCTGGGAAGCCAGCAAATGCCTATTACACGATGTGGCCATAATCAGGACCCAGACACTCAAATGCCTGGATTGTGATCTTTTGGCCATGAGGATGCTGTGACATCTGTAACTTATAGAACAGGTTGTAAGTTTTTTTTTTGTATTGTCGTAATTTTGAACAGTCAATGAATGAATGGAAGTAAGCCAAGGACTATTGGTACTGCATCACCCATCTAAAAAGGCAGAAGTGGTTGCTTGTATTTTTGTTTATTAATATCTCTGTGGCCAGAGAAATACAAGAGTAAAATGGCCAAACTCAGATGCATTAAAGAAGGAGATTCCAGGGATCTTGGGGCAGGTTATCTCTCTTTCTACTACTATTTATTATTTTGATGGCATGCCTCACAAATGAGCTGGTTTTGGTTCATTGTAACAGGTAGCATTAATCATCCTTTCCAAAATCAAGACTGTAAAATTAAAGATGAAAAGAGGATGCATGTTGTAATCTTTCTGCTCCTTTAGCAATTTCAGACCAGAAAAAGGTCTGAAAGACATAAGTGAAAAATGTATTGAAAAATAGAAAAAGGAAAAAGTGAGAAAAATAATCAGGATTGGGGATTCTTTAATAATCTCATATCCACCTCAAAATTGCTTCCGTACCTTAGAGCAAAGGTTCCTAAACTTTTTTTATTATCACAGCTCTCTTTAATGTGAACAGCTTCTCTAAAATTCCAAACACCAAAATGAATACAAATGTACAAAGAAAACAATACCATGAAAGTATGTAATGTAACAATCTAACTAAAAATTCTTCACTTACACACACATATACACATACACATGTCTTTATGGAAGTGTTTGCCTCCACCTTCCTAACGTATAGACAATGAAAAAATTAAAATCATAAGTTGAAGGAAAGTGCAAAAAGAAGAAAAGGGAAGCGGCATACCATGGAAATACCCCCACCCACCACCGTTTGCAAGATTAGTGGTATACCCCAGACTTTATATTTTAAAAAGAATAAATTATTTTAGAAAATACCCAGAAGTTCCAGGGAGCCAATCAGTCAGAGAATGTGATTTGTTCTGTATGGTGGATGATGGATAAAGAGAAAGGATTTGCACTGGATATTGGTGATTGGCTCCTACCTTTAAAAATCATCAGATCTGATATAAGTAGTCCTCAGTTAATGATGGCATTTGGAACCAAGAACTCTGTTACTATGCAACCTGGTAGTAAAGTTTCAACATCACATGATCATGTTGACTGATATTGGCAATTCTAGTTGCATTCATTAGATACTCCCACACAATTATTAGGCATGACATCACACTTGATTGCCATTTGTGACTTCCTGGTTTCCCGTTGACTTGCTTATTGGAAACCAGCAGTGAAAGTTGTAAATGGTGATCACATGACTGTAGGATGCTGCAACCATCATATCTGCGATTGGCTCAATTGCAAGCTGTTTGCCAAGTATCTGAATTGCGGTCATGAATTGCAGAGATGCTGCAATGGTTACAACTTTGAGGACCAGATAAGTCTGCTTGTTCAGCACCACTGTAACTTTGAACAGTTGCCAAACAAATGGTTTTTAATCAAGGACTATCTGTACTGTGCTTGGATACGTTCATGCCAAATAAAACTATTTTTTTAAAAAAATTATTCTCATTTTTAAGACAAACATAGACAAACAAAACATAAAAACATCAAGCCATCTTCCATATATATACATACAGTGTGTCAGTTGGTTTACAAATTGTTTGGTGCTTCCGTTTCGTAGTCTTCAATTACAATTGCATTGTATATATTCTCATATTTTCAGTCAAATATTAAATACATTAATATCATTGTTAATCATTTAATTATACTTTCATGTTTTATGAAATAATCCATATTTTACATAATTTGTTTTATGACATTTCATATTATCATCAAAAATCTATCCTACAATCATTTTGTAGATATAATAAAAGAATACATCTTCATATATTTATTATTTTCTAAGAATCTACATATTTCATTGCCATGTTTTATTGTCTAACCATTGATAGAATAGATCCCAAATTTTATAAAATTGTTTATCATCTTGTTCTCGGATTTCAAATGTCAATCTACTCATTTCAGCACATTCCAATATTTTCTTAAAGGTTTCCTCCTGTAATGGTATTTTCTCATTTTTCCAGTTTTTAGCAAATACAATCCTAGCCGCTGTTAATACATTTTACAATCAGGTATTTCAATTCTTTACTATATATTTCAGGTAAAATTCCTAATAAAAATATCTCTGGTTTCAAGTCTATATGCTTTTTTGTCATTTTTTCCAACCACGTGTGGATTTTAGTCCAATATTTTTTAGCATCCACACAAGTCCGCCACATATGGTAATATGAGCCAGGTGTCTGATGACATTTCCAACATTTTTCAGATTTGTTCTTGAACATTCTTGCTATTCTTGTTGGGGGAAATGCCACCTGTAAAACATCTTATACAAATTTTCTTCATATGCTGTTGACATTGTCATTTTATAATTTTGAGACCACAATTTTTGCCATTTCTCTAGATCAATCCCATATCCAAAATTCTTATCCCAAGCAATCATTGTTTCTTTAACTTGTTCTTCTTTTCTAATTAATAAATTTCTTTTCTAATTAATAAATTTCTAATAAATATCCATACAATTTTTTAATCACCTTTTCATCAGTACCTGTCAAAATCTTATCTAAATCATTCAGTTTATCATAGAAACCTTCTGTTTTAGAATCTTTATCATACCTTGAATGTATTTGCGCATATGAAAACCAATTCATCTTTATACCTTGTTTCTCTAATTTTTGCATAGATTTAAGCTCACCCTTTTCATTCAGTATTTCACCATATCTATCTATTTGTTCCTTTTTATATATTATAGGATAAGAAAATGCTTCAATAGTCGATAGCCAGACTGGAATTTTCAAATAACATTGTCTTTTAGTCTTCTCCCACAGAGACTCCTGTATATAATGTCTTCTAAAATACCCCCGTGTTTTAGTTCCTTTATACCACAGAAAAGCATGCCACCCCAACCACAGATCATGTCCTTCTAATGTCAACAATCTAGTATTTCTTAATGTTATCCATTCCTTAACCCACATCAAATTTGTAGTTTGGTAATACAACTCCCAATTAGGCAAACCAAATCCTCCTCTTATTCTGGCATCTTGCAAAAGTTTTAACTTTATTCTAGCTTTCTTACCTTGCCATATATATTTCAACACAATTTTATTTAAATCTTCAAAATAATCTTTTCCAAGCTTAACTGGAATTGTTTGGAACAAATAAAAAATTCTGGGTAGTATAGTCATCTTGATTGTTGATATTCTCCCTATTAATGACAGTTGTAAATTCTCCCATTTCGCCAAATCTAGCGCTATCTGCTGCTTAAGTTTGATATAATTATTCTCTTTTAGTGTACTACATCTTGCTGTCAAATGTATCCCCAAGTACTTGATGTTATTCGTGACCTGAATTTTCAATAGATCCGCCAGTTCTTCCTTTTGTCTTGATAGCATATTCTTTGTCAAGATCTTTGTCTTATCTTTATTTATTTTCAAACCAGTCACCTTTCCATATACCTCTATCTTTTCTATCAATTTTGATGCTGTTTCTAGTGGGTTTTCTAAAATGAAAACCAGATCATCTGCAAATGCTTGCAACTTAAATTCTTCCTTTTTAATTTTCATCCCTTTTA